GCGGTGTCTCGCCGGGCCGCCCGCTCATCCGGGGCCGGAGCTCTGGAGCTGCCGAGGTGCAAACAAACCAAAGAATAAACGGGAGGAAAAACTATTATTTGGCATCAGACCAATCAAAATAGCTATTGACATTGCCGCGGAAGTGTGTTCTTTCCATCGACATAATCTTTTCATCACTTTGCATTTGTGAATTTGATCCAATGACATTACATTAATGCGTACCGCATAACTGAAATGACGAATTAGTACATGGCGACGACACAAAAACGCCTCTGGGTCAATTTTACCGACTATTTTGACAGAGTTAACAGATATATATTTGTTTCAGTCCTGTTGACCCTAGCTTTCGTGCATTTTTGATCTGGCACCAAACTCTAATCATGCTACCGTAAAAAGAGCTTCTCTGCACCAACTTTCATCGAAGTCGCCATGGAGGGGAAGAGCTCGATCAATCTGACACGGAACGGTCGCGGCACGATCGCCCGTTTTCTTCTTCCTCCAGCAGTGCTGATCTCGTATCGCTGCTACACTGGATCACAGACACCAGTGCTACACTGGATCGCAGATATTAGTGCTACACTGGATCGCAGAGATTAGTGCTACACTGGATCACAGACACCAGTGCTACACTGGATGGCAGATATTAGTGCTACACTGGATCGCAGAGATCAGTGCTACACTGGATCACAGACACCAGTGTTAGACCAGATCGCAGAGATCAGTGCTACACTGGACCGTATACATCAGTGCTACATTAGATCACAAAGATCAGTAATATAACGGGTCGCAGAGATCAGTGGTGCACGGGTTCGCGGAGATCAGCACTACACCAGATTGCAGAGATCAATGCTACACCGAATCGCGGAGATCATTGCTCCCCGGATCGCAGAGATCGGAGCCCGCTTTAGACGTGTGTTTTGATCTCGCCCGGTGGACCAGGGATGGCTGAGCCTCTGCCGAGACATTCGCTGCCACGTCGCGAGCACGTGTCGTGCCGTGAAGGCTACAAGTCACGCTCGCGCCAAGCGCGGCTTCGCCGCGCCGCTCAGGCCGGCGCCGGCTGCGCTCATATGGACCCGGCTCACCCCGTCCGGCTCACCCCGGCTCACCCCCACGATCGATCGTGCGGCGACGTCATTTCGTCGGGCGGCAGAAACTTGCTTCAGAGGAAGCGATTGGCTCGTCGGCAGGGTGTACAGCAGCAGCAGCAGCAGGAGCGCCTGGAACGGCAGCATGCTCAGTCGTCGCTGAACTACATTGGCCTCCCACTGGGTATTCACTGGGTATCTGGGAATGTACGGAGCTTGCTGTATATTGGTGTTTTCAACAACTTCTCGCTGTTTTAAAGACGTCAGCCAATCGCCTTATTTACCACACAAACAGACCAATCCCTGCATGCATAATCACCTGACTGCTTGCTACCTTTATCATTCATTGAGATGAGACGCTGCTTACCAAATGCAGTGGACATAGGGGGCGTAAACTATAGTTTTGAATGAAGAGCTCACCCCACGGGCGAGCTCACGAGGAAACATGAGATTCGCGAGTGAATAAAGTGCATGAGTTTAGTGGGCTTTGTGGAGGAGTGTCTGTCTGACACC